TCTCTCCATCATCATTTCCATTTCTTGAAAACCAAACACATTGTTATTATCATTATTATTATTACAATCATGTAATGATAATTATAATATTTAAAAACACGTGGAATACGAAGAATATACCCGAACCATGCCGATCCTTTGCGGAACTCTTTGCCCCATTATTACCTAATGGAGAAACGGGGACTTTATCCGTTGATCTGTCCAGAACGGTACCTATTCGTTGAGTTTCCGGTAACTCGACGCTTTCATCGATGCCATCTTTTCCACTTTCTTGATTATTCTCCGACATTTTTCATCAAAAGTTGAAAAACCGGACTTTTACGCGTAAGCTTGAGTTCTTCGTTAAACCGCCATCATCTTCGTCTACATTTAATAGATGGGAAAATTTAAGAAAATATGAAAATCGAAAAACACGAACCACGTTTGATTGATTGATTTTTTCGTACCAGAAACGGAGGAAAAAAAAGGGCTCTTGTGATCTTTGTTTAGCTAGATGAAAAAGATGGTGTTTGATGAGTTGGAAGATAGGTAGAAAATGAAAGAAAAGAGAAAGAATAATTAACATAAAATGAGAAAGGGAGTAGAATGAATGAATGGCTGCCCTTTTTCAATACTGGCAAAAATACCGGGAAAGCATACATACAATATTCATTCTCTCTCTCTCTCTCTCTCTCTCTCTCTCTCTCTCTCTCTCTCTCTCTCTCTCTCTCTCTCTCTCTCTGCCTCTTTAGCTACCATCCGATTCTTGTAGTTTCAAAAACTGAAGCTGAAAGTTGAATGGACATGGATGGAAATTGAGTTATTAAATAACTAATTGATACTATTTTGCTATCTAATTATCAATATTATTATTATTATTTTTAATTGAAAATCATTTATCTTATAATAAAAAAAAAATTAAAAATAAATATTGAACTGTGATAATGTTTTTTAATTTCATATGTAGTTTTTATATTATTATTATTCACCAACAAATAAATTTGAGAAAAATAAATTCAATCCACTTAAATATCACACTCAAATTTCCGTATTGACGCATACACTTAAACCTTTATAAATCAATATAATAAAGACTGTACGGTTTACCTAATGCACTTATATAGTTGGTTGTGGGTTCCTTCGTTACAAAAAAAAAAAATCAATAATAGAGACTATGAAAATTCTATTAATTTAACGAATTGTTAAGGACAGATCATGGCCACACCCCTGATGTATGACCAAATCATGAAAAAACCCCTCTTGTTTGGATAATTACTGACATCCCTTCTTTTAAATACTTTTACATTAAAATTTTATGTAATTCAGTTAATTTAAATAATAGAGACTATGAAAATTCTATTAATTTAACGAATTGTTAAGGACAGATTATGGCCACACCCTTGACGTATACCCTTGATGTATGACCAAATCATGAAAAAACCCCTCTTGTTTGGATAATTACTGACATCCCTTCTTTTAAATACATTTACATAAAATTTTATGTAATTCAGTTATTTACCGAACCAAATTGTATATTCAGTTAGGTAAACAGTATGAAATATTGGTGTACCAAAATTTCGGTTTGATTTTACCTATTTAACATCCCTAAATTAGTAAAATTTACTCCAGGAGGGTTTTTTAATTTTTTCGTAAGATACCACATAGTTGCTAATTACCCAAAAAAGATGAATTTTTCATAATGTAAACATAACTTAGGGACTGGCCGTAATTTGCTCTTACTATAATACCAAACCCCAATTTATAGCAACGAGATTTGACGGACTCAGCGCAGCAGCCCACACTGTAAACATACGCCGCAAGCCCATTGTAAAAACCCCCCAAAAAACCCTAGCTTCCTCACCCCCTTCTATATAACTACAACCACCACACCCCCAATTCTCATTCATCTCAGCTCTCAGCGCCGCCGTCCAATAAACACACACACACACACAATCAAACACAGATTGAAGAATCAATCAATCTGCATCTCTCTATGAATTCCTTCTATTCAATTAATTTCGATTTTTTTTTAATAAAAAAACCCTAGCTTCTATCCCCACAGCTCAGATCTACTCATCTCGCCTTCTTCAAACAGCACACACAAACACGCACTCCAGTGTGAAGAGTTTGCTTCTGCAGAAATCCATTCCTTTGATTTAATTTCCGATTTTTTTGATTTCGATTCAGATTTTCTGTCTGTATATATATGTGTAAGTATATATATGAGCAATGACGACTACTGGTAATTGGTCTCGTTCGTCGTATCGGCATTCCAATGCCTTGCCGACTATCCTGTTATATCACCACCCATAAACTGAGCTCATAGGTAATTCATTCCAATTTTTAATATATATATATAAATATATGTATACATGTATATTTATATATTTTTTTCTGGAAATTTTTACAGGCCAATGATTATAAAAAAATTAGACAAGCATATGTCTGAATTACCATATGTGGATCAACCTAATCTTCTCTATGAGGCCTCTGTTTTAGATCTTGTGTTTTTTTTTAATTCTGTATTAATTAATTATTAAATATATCTATTTTTTTTCTGGAATTTTTTGCTAGCCAATGATTATAAAAAATTAGACAAGCATATGTCTGAATGAATTACCATATGTGGATCAACCTAATCTTCTCTATGAGGCTTCTGTTTTAGATCTTGTGTTTTTTTAATTCTGTATAAATTAATTATTTATTTAATATTTAATTTAATTTTTTTATTTGTTGAAGATCTTGTCTGTGATGAACAAAAGCATAGTTCATATGAATCACTAGTGATTATAAAACTACCTAGTCTTTCGCTCCTATCTGATGACTTGTTTTCAATTTTATTTTCAAAATTAAATTTTATTTATTTAATTAAAAAATGATTTTCTGTTTTATATTTAGTTAAAAAATGGATCTATGATGATTGGTGATTAATTTCTGACACCTCTTGTACGAGAAGTTTCGTCACGGTTTCTTCATTGAGCACAATTTGCAAAGCTCTGAGATCCTTTAATTATTTATTTATTTATTTGTTTATTTATTATTTAAAAACAAAATTAATAAATTTGAAGGCTTCATTATCTGGTTGACAATATATTTTAGTTTGCTGTCAACTCGTTCCCTTGAAGCAACATCATTTTGTGTTGCTCTTTGTTTTTATTAATTATTCCCATTTTTTTTTTTCTAATTTCAAATGGGAAAACAATGGCAGCTAAATAATTTAAATTTACATCAAATATTTAAAAATCGAATTTTGAATATGGAAAACGATGATGAGTCAATGCAGACCTGTAATGATTGCGGATATGATCGCAATTGTTTTTGAACATCTAAGGGACTGAGTTTTTTCCATAGTTATATTAAATTTATATTTATTTAAAAATGTAAGTATTGTGCTTTACTTGATTTAAATTATGTCGAGCTGATAATTATTATGAGGTTCGACAATAGTTTCGAGTTTAGCTATAAAAATAAGTTTCCCTCGCTATCCGATGATACTCTTTTCGTGCATTTGGACGTCGGGGAACTACATTTATTCTGTATATGATTTTTTTTATATTTACTCAAAAAATAAAAATAAAATATTGTCATTTGTTGCATCTTTTCTCTTTTTTTGAAGTCTGGATAAATGAAAAATATATTGTACTGTTATTTTGCAAACGATATATAATTAACAAAATACTTTGTTTATTCGTTTGATAATATTTTACAAAGTTTTCAGTTTGCTTGATTGACAATTGTATTGAATCAGTTATTGTATTGTTTTTTGATGAAAATAAACATTTGATTGTAGCCATCTGATTTTCAAGTGTCTACTGTTTTTTATTTTATCTGTCAGTAGGCAATCAGAATCCTGTTAAAAGTTACATAACACATTATGTATATTACTGTAAATCCAGTTTCTTAATAAATGTTAAAAAAATTGCAAAAGGAAAATTAGTATAAAGTATAAAGTAAGATTAAATAATGACGATAAAATTGCTGAAAAAGGAATAAATTGAAAAAGGAATAAATTGAAAAAGGAAGATTAGTTTTTGGACACTCGAGCAAAATCACACAACATTGTAGAATAACACATGCTTTTATTTTGTTTGCTAAAATGTTCAAATCATTAAGGCTCTGATTGGTTCATAGAAAATGCTAGGTAAAAAGTTGAAAAGCAGAAGTAATTTGTTTTTCCTGTTTGGTTAAAAGGTAAAATAGTGAGTAATGTAATTTAGAGAAAATGGTGAAAAAAAATTTAACTAAAAATTAGGAAAACCCATTTTCTTAAAAAAATATGAGGAAAATGAGGAAAACTAATCGGGCTCTCTTCGCCCATTCAATTCTCGACTGGCTTTCACCAACTATCTGCCGACAGCTCCGCCACCACCACCACCGGCCCCTCCAACGCCGACATCCACCGCCAACAAATTATCTGCCGCCGCTGTGAGCATCCTCTCCATCTTTCCTGCTTGAGAATTTTCCGGCCATCACAACCTGTCTGCCACCGCCAGTAACACCACCGTCACCGCCGCTGCTAGCAACCCTTTCATCTTTAAGCTGCTAGCAAAAGAAGGAAACATTGTGAAGAATCCATCTAGCGGCGGCGGAAATTAAATTTCAGTCGGACAAAAATGAGGAGGTGTCATGATTTAGTTTTTATTTTTATTTTTGGGTTGGGGGTGGTCAGGAGAGATGGTGGATTTTGGGTGTAGGGGTATCTAAGCAATTTTTGTTAAATTTTTTAGTAATAATTTATTGTTATTTTCATTTTACTTGATATTTTCCTCGTCATTTTTCATAGGAACCAAACAAAACTACAGAAAATGATTTTTCACAAGGTCATTTTCATCACCACTTTTCTTAGGAACCAAACACAATTGAGATTTCAAAATTCCTTGATTTCCTTTTCCTTTGCATTTTCATTTTCCTTATATTGAAATCCATGAATCAATCAGAGCCTAATGATTTTTGTAACACTGAAAACTATGGTATACTTAGCAAATCGTTTCACTATTTTCTGAATTGTTGATTAAAAATCACAAAAGATCGTAGACTAATCAATATTTTAACACTCAAATGTATAGTATAGAAGATGCTTATTCAGAAGTACTCGATAAATAGTTTATCTAAAATGAATTAGACAAATATCGATTAGTCGAGTAAATTCACAAAAAAATTGTATACTGCGCAATTTTGCAAAAAATTGCTGAAATGTTCGTCATATATTTATTTCAATATCATTTAAACGCAAATATATAAAATATAAGTTTCTTTTATCCATAAGTAACCACCACCACCACCACCACAAGAAACAATCACAAGAAACAATTAATCAATTAATCGGAGTTCTGGCGACTTGTCCGTGCAGATTGCTTGTTAATTAAGTCAACTAAATTAAATAAAATCAAATCAACTCATCGGAGTTCCAGCGACTTGCAGCCGTATCTCCACCATATTTTGGATGAAAACCCTAGAGAGTAAATGAGGCAATGTTGAACTATTCCTCGCCCCTAGGGCCCCTACCCTTTGGTTCGACAAGTATTTGATGGAGTAATGTAAATCATGGTAATTCAACGGTCCGTTAGGGTAGCGGACCCAGACTTGATGTCCACAAAAAACCAACTCTCATTGGAGTTGAAATTCCCACACTGCGGCTGCCAGGATTCGATCCTAAGACCATGTACTAACTTATCACCCCGAACCAATTGAACTACACTCATGCGGGCCCTTGAATCTAGTTCTATTTATATTAGCGAGGGTGTTCTTTCAAGTATGCGCTTTGAAGTTGCTATCTATAAAGTTCAAATAATGTTGAAACAAAAAAGTTACTATTATATATTAACCATTTAATATACAGAATGGTTGACAAACCTTAATCAAAGCCATTATGCGATTCTTTCTTAATTTACAAAAATGTCCCAATATGAGAAACTAAAGTAACATAGAGCTTCGTTTAGTTAAACTTATTTAAAATTTCTTATAAGCTTGTATACTATCCGATAAAATGTTTTAGGATATAATTTTTTATTCTAAGATGTTCAGTATACAAGTTATAAGATACTTTAAGATTTTACTGGTTGTTTAAGTGTAAGGTTTTTTTTTTTATCGCCATAAGAAATAAAAGTACACATGACCATTATACTTGTCAAACTTATTTTAATCAAGTATCTTTTTTCGAAAATATTATTATAATATTTACAAATTATTTAGCTTCAAATAATAAATTGGATATTAAATTAAACTAAAAATGATTTTTTTTATGATATCATGATATTTGACAATTTTAAAACTAAAATAAACTGTGATAAACTATTTTAAAGAAACATACTTGTGAAATTTTCAAAATTTTACCCCATTAATAAATTAATATAAGAAAAATCTCTTATTTTTTTTAAAATAAATATAATTTATTATTGAGATAATAAAAAACATTCGAATATTTTTATTTATATGTAAATAAAAATATATAAAAAAAATATAAATAGACACTTTTCTTTGGCCAAAACATTTGGGCTATGATTGGTTCATGAATTTTGAAATAAGGAAAATGAAAAAGCAAAGAAAAGGAAATCAAAGACTTTTAAAATCCCAATTGTGTTTGGTTCCTAAGAAAAATAGTGATGAAAATAATTTTGAGGAAAATCATTTTCTTTAGTTTTGTGTGGTTCTTAAGGGAAAATAATAGAGAAAAATACCAAGTAAAATGAAAATACCAAGGCTTTGTTTGAATCATTTTTATTTCAAAATAAATTCTAACCCAAAAAAAGTGTCATGTAACGAATAAAATAAAATGTAAAATAAGATGCACATTTTGTAGAATGATACATTTTCCTCATATTTCTTTTTAGGAAAACTCGTTTCCTTTTAGTACAATATTTTTTCCACATTTTCAATGAAATTGTTTTACATAGTATTTTTACTTATTAACCAAACAAGAAAACTATTTTAGATCGCATTTTCCTTGAACCAATCAGACCCTTGCACTCTTTGAAACCTTCTTCACTACACTTAATTCACTAAGGCCCCGTTTGGTTGACAAGATAAGATTAGCCAAGATAAGATTAAATAATCTAATGAGACCCAATTATTTTATTGGAGCTTGAAATGTCCAACAAAAAAAACTCATTAAAAGGCAAGATAAGTCAAGATAAGACAAGATAAACCATGATTATATAATTTTGGCGGGTCGACCCGACAAGTTATTGAGGATACCAAACATCAAATTAAGTCCAATTATTTAGTTAATCATGGCTTATCTTGGCAACCAAACGGGGCCTAACTATATAAATAATATAAATATATATATATATATACATTGACTCAATCTTCTCTCTATTTTTTCACACTTTTCCTTCTTCTACTGCGTGCAATATGTGTGATTTGTAACCAACCCTAAATAAAAAAATAAAATGCTGATTATTCGAATCCAAATAGTAATGATTCAACACTAATTAAACCCCTTCAAAAATGCATTCATCACCATCATCACACTTAACTCCGCCAATCTCTCTCTCTCTCTCTCTCTCTCTCTCTCTCTCTCTCTCTTACTACTGTTACACTAATTATTAATCCTCTTTTTTTTTTTTTTTTTTTTTTTCTGAGTTTTGATATTAAAAAAAAATAAGAAGAAGAAAGATGATGGACGCCTCCTCCGAATCAGATGTCACGAGCATCGGATCCCGGCCATCCTCCTCCTCCTCCTCCAGGCCGGCGTCGGCGGCGGCGTACTACGTGGAGAGCCCGTCGTGCGACTCACAAGACGAATCCAATTCCTCCAACAGCCCCATGGATTCCCCCTCCGATCCCAGATACTCGACGGACTCCTCCAACTCCTCCACCGCCGCCAGCCGCGTCTCCGGCGGCCGCCGCCGCCGTAGGTGGAGCAAGCACTACCCCGACGTCGTCGAGGAGGACGGCGCCGGCGGCCAACGGCGGAGGTGGAAAAAGCACTACTGCGACGTCGTCGAGGAGGAGGAAGCCGACGGCGGCGATTGCGAGGAGGAGGACGACTACCACGGCACTCCTTGCGTGGGAGACCACTACGACGGCGGCGGCGCTTGCATGGAGGACGACTACTACTACGACGACGGCGGCGGCAGCGGTGGGCGGTGCTCGTGGCAGTACAGGTGTTTTTTGTTGGTGTTGGTGTCTGGTGCGAGTTTTGCTGCCATTTGTTTGGTGTTTTGGTGCGCCGGCCGCCCTTACAAACCCCATATTCGCATCCAGGTAATATATATATATATATATATATATATATATATATATATATATATATATATATATATATATATATATATATACACACACGTATTCGTGATTTTTTTTTAAATGGTGTTTTTTGTGTGTCCGTGTTTCAGTGTCTATGCTACATAGGTTAATGATATACCGATCGAGATCAACATTTATTTATTTTTATTATTATTTTTTTATTTTTTTGTTATGATTTTAGAGCTTAAGGGTTAAAAATTTGTATTACGGGCAAGGCTCCGATCACACCGGAGTTCCGACAAAGTTTATCACGGTGAATTGCTCGGCAAGTTTGGCGATTTACAATCCTTCCACTTTCTTCGGCATTCGAGTCACCTCCCACACTGCTAATCTCAAATTCTCTCAAATTACTGTTGCATCTGGTCAGGTGAGAATATGTATATATACCTTTAAACCTCTATAAATTAATACAGTTGGGACCAGCAAAATGAACTAATAAATTTTCAGCGAGTCGGGAATGAAATAAACTATTATTTAAGCGAGGTTATTAATTTATCGAGGTTCAACTTTATATACATGTAATAATAATTTCAAGAATTTATTTTTTGAAATAAGAAATTGTTGTACTTGTAGCTAGAGAAATACTACCAACCAAAAAGGAGCAAAAGGGTTATGTGGGTGATGCTGGTGGGCCGACGGGTTCCTTTGTACGGGGCCGGGGTGGCATTGGCCCCTTCCGGTGGGAGGGGTTTAAGGAATATTCCGTTCAAGCTGGAGTTTGAGATTCATTCAAGAGGGTATATCGTCGGAAAATTGGTGAAGGCGAATCACAAAACACGTGCATTTTGTTCGTTGCTCATCAATTCGAGGCACACCGAAGATATTATTTTCGACGAGAATTCTTGCGTGTACGTTATAGAATAATTATTATTTACAGTACAAACATTTTGATAATGAAATTATATTTAGTTAGTTCTCTAATTTTTTTTTTTTTTAATATTGAATGATTGTACTACAAAGTGTATATTAATGGTGCAATTTTGAAAACTGAAATGTTCAATGTCGTTTTAATTTTACCAATATTTGTGCTTTGTGTTTTACCAAATTCCAACTAAAAAATGGATAAATTTGCGTGTGTGAAGTCGAAACGATATTTTTAAAATAGAAACGATAACAAAAAATTAATTCACAAAATAATGGGTTAATTTTAGTTGTTTTTAGGAAAGTTGGTACAAAATTCCTAAAAAAAATAAAATGAATATAGTTCAGTTGACTATCTAATCTAAAAAATAAACTTGGATTACTTTGAGCAAAGATGAATAATTATATCTATTTTAACATAAGTTTCTATACATGCAAAATAATCAAATATAAAAGGTACATTCTTTTTAATCTAAATAATCAAATATTAGAAGTACATTTTTTTATAATAGTTATTTTTCGAAACATCGAAAATGTGACGTTGCTCGAGAATAATGAACTTTTTCAACAGGAAAAGCAAATTGAGAGGGAGATAATTCATTTTCTCTACAAAGATTTTGATAGTGACGAAGATTTGTAGCTCGTGTTTAACTTTGGACAAAGACGAATAGACGAAAACACGCATGTGTAGTAACCTTGACAGAAACTAACACTCACAGCCTGCGGATCTTTGTTGCTGCCCTCCCGCCATATCAATCGCGTCAGGAAGATATCTTCATAAGTTCGATCGAGAAAAAAAAAATAAAAAAAAATTAGTTAATTACCAAGGTTCGATGAACAAAACAAAATGTTGAAAGAAAAAACCATGAAATAAAACCCGAGTAAAATCCAAGTAATTGAACGAATTACTTACAATTCTTCCTCGGGTTCGTTTTTCAGAGCATTTTTAGCTATGCATTCAAACGCAGCCTCCACGTTGAACCCTTCTTTTGCGGAAGTTTCGAAGTAAGGAATATTCCCTTTTGAGGCGCACCATGCTTTTGCTTTCTTCTCAGATACCTTTAAAAAACACGATTCGACGCAATTAGCATAGCAATGCATGCATATTAAATGAATACGACAAAATGGATCGATAAAAAAGAAAAGTACCACTCTGCTATTGCCTCCATCGACATCAATCTTATTCCCCAAGACAACAAACGGGAAGTTTTCAGGGTCGGGAGGGCTAGCCTGAATATCGAATTTCAAACAAATGGAAATTTTAGCAAACAAGGTTCAAAATCCGAACAGTAATGAATTTAGAGATACGAGACCTGAATAAGAAACTCCTCTCGCCAGTTGTTGAGGTTGTCGAATGACTTGGCAACGTTCACATCGTAAACGAGTACGCAACAATCTGCACCTCGGTAGAAAGCCACACCGAGGCTTTGAAACCTCTCTTGCCCAGCAGTATCCCATATCTGAAATCGGTATTAAAGTTCTTCTAAATTTAGATTTAACTAAAATAATAGTAATAACAACAGTGAATATAAAAGAAGAGAAATTGAATAAGAATTCCAAGTTCAAAAGTTGTCGACCCAATAAATAGCACTTGTGTAGGCAAGTCCATTTTTTATTTTATTTAAATATTGAAAGATCTTTTGATCAATAAAAGTAAGTCGAGGTTGTCTCCTGATATATCAACAATATTTTTACGTCGAAGAAGACATATCTCATGAAATCATATGTGATAAGCACTCAAGATTATGGAATAAGACAATTGTACTTATGACGTCTTACCTATAAATATTCCAAATGCACTAAATCTAATATAATGGAAAACGAGTAAAACTAGAAAGCAAGAATACATGTTTTGTCTAATCCAAAACCGAGAAAACCAACATAAAAATGTACATTTTTCAGGAACTGATAGCATATTACCCGAATTATATGTAGTAAGATGGAGTTTCTGAAAGTAGCAGGGCTTTTTTTTCTTAATTAGTTAATTTGTGGATATCTTCGCCTTTGAAAAATATTTAGGCCTATCATTCAAAAATCTTGCTAGCTAAAACGAGCAATGATAATCGACATATAACTGTATTACATTTGTTGAAAAATAATGTCCCCAAGACTAATTGATTTGCAACAAACTCGTATAACATAGAAGTTGATTTTATTCCGATAAATGCAGCTCATCGGATAACATCGCACTCGCCTCAATTCAATTTACAATTACTAAATTAACATTAAGCATTAATTGAATCGCAGACTTTTCATAGAAGAATAAACGTAGTCGTTATGAATGAAACTACACGCATGAAGAAAAGCATCATTTTCTACAAAAGTCAACAAACGAAAATAATAAACCAAGATATCGAAAACAATGATACCAAATCGAATATTAAAAAAAAAACGAACAACCGACGGATGAAAGAAAGGTGACTCGTGAATGATAAGAAATGTAGGAAGACTGACCTGCAAGGTGAAAATCCTGTCCTCAAATTGGACCTCTTTGGTCAAGAAATCAGCCCCAATTGTTGCTTTATACTGATTGCTGAATTTCCTATTCACATATCTGTTTTCAACTGAATCAAGGATGTACAAAAACATAAAAAAAATTCCAGCAGCAATAATTCCATGCCAGCATTATGATTTATTCAACAGAGTAGAATTTCCTTAAAAAAAAAATAAACAATACAACCTGTTTACAATTTTACATGCATTTTGAAAGATCTGCAGCAGAAGGATACTGATTCATCAAAGACGTCTTACCGACCCTGTAATTGTATCAAATATCAATCAAACACACACACACACACACAAAAAAAAAAAAACATTTTCGATCAACCATTTGAAAATGACTAGAGAGAGAGAGAGAGAGAGAGAGAGAGAGAGAAACCCGCTGTCGCCGAGAATGATGACTTTGAGGAGCACACGGCGACGAGACGCCATTGAAATTCCGGATTTTGCAACGCTTGAGTTGAGATGAAAATTGAAAAATCAGGGGGAATTTAATTTGGGGGTTTCTTTTTTCCTTTTTCAGAGGGGGCAATTTTTTTTTGAATTCGACACGTGTTTCAATGGAATATGCAGCATGAAGATGCTTTTTGAATTTTCTTTTATTCTCAATTGGGCTAATTAATTCAAATTTCCTCAGGCCCAATTCATTTACCCTCTTTCCTCCGAAACGCTGTCGTTTTCTCCTCCAGAATTAATTCCATCTTAAATCACATCGTTTCTTCTTCCCCATTTTTTCCCTGACCCAGCCATCTTCTATCAATCCACCGCCGCCGACGACGTCGCCGCCGCCGCCGCTAATGTCGTCGTCGTCGACTTCTTAGGTCATGACGTGTTATTGCTAAATTCACGTCTTCTTAAGGTATTCCTCTTAAACTGTAAAACCCTAGATTCTTAAAGCTCCGATCTTTATACTTTAGATTTACTTTTTTTTTTTTATAATAATAATGTGATTGAATAGCTTAGTAATTTTCAACTCTGTTAAACTATTCATGTTTAAATGTTCGGAAATCTTGGATTTATGTTTAATTTTTAATGTTTGGGACAACAGAAAATAGATGTTACAGATAAATTTCAAGCCCTAGAACTGAAATCCTGCAAACTGAAAAATCATTTCCGATTGCTCATCCGTTACCGTTGCCGTTTATTATTTGATTTCTAGCTTAACAGCTTTCTCCATGTGTTCTTACTGCTTTTTTTTCCGTCTTTGCAGTGATTCTTCAAAGGAGAATCTAACAAAGATGCTACAGAATATTCCCCACCAAGTCGTGCAATCTCCGGCCAGGCTAGGCCTGCCGAACCCCAACTCACCGTCTCTCCAAAACACGAACCTCCCTAAATTCACTTCTCAAACCCCACAAAACCACCAGCAGCAGCAGCAGCAGCAGCAGTCGAATCAGTTAACAACTCCGGCCGTTTCTTCGACACTCCTCCCTCTCCTCCCCCCTCTCCCTCGTGCTCAATCTCTCCTCATCCAGATGGCGTCTCTCTCCTCCAAACTCTTTGAAGTTTCACCGAACCGACCGCACTGGATCGGTGCATTCCGTGGCCAACTCCCTTCCTTCTTGTCTTCACAACCCCAGCCAGTGGGGGCCGCCCCCCAAGACTCGTCTCCCTCTTCCGCCAAAGAAATCATCTCGCAATTCGCAGCTCTCCAAACACAACTCTTCGAAGCTGTTGCGGAGCTCCAGCAAATACTCGATCTTCAAGACGCTAAACAGAAACTCGCCCGCGAAATCCGATCCAAAGATTCAGCCCTTCTCGCCTTTGCCAACAAACTCAAAGAAACCGAACGAGTCCTCGACATTCTAGTAGACGATTATTCCGATTACCACCGCCAGAAAAGAACCAAGTCATCGGAGGAAGACTCTTCCACAACCACCATCGAAACTCAAATCAAACTAACGGATATACTCTCCTACGCGCACAAGATAAGCTACACCACTTTCGCCCCACCCGTATTCGGGGCGGGGCAGGCCCCCCTCCGGGGGGCGCTGCCCCCCGCCCCGCAAGAGGAGCAAATGCGCGCTTCACAGCTGTACAATTTCGCGGATCTCGATATCGGGTTACCTAAAACGGACGAGGGCAGAGAGGGAATTATCGAGGCGGTGGTTGAAGCAGAAGCAGCAGCTCCGGCGAAGGATTTGCTGATGATTCCGGCGAACATTGTGGTTCCTTCAGGGTGGAAGCCTGGAATGCCAGTGGAGTTGCCAAGCGATCTTCCGATTTTGCCCCCGCCAGGGTGGAAGCCAGGGGACCCGATCACGCTCCCGCCGCTGGATGCTCTGGCGGGTCCCGCGAGGCCCGACGAGCAGCAATTGCGGGCGGGCCCGCCGCCGGTGTTGGGGAGGGCGCCGGAGCCTATACAGGTACGGCATGTGCAGCTTGATATCGAGGATGATAGTAGTGATTATAGCAGTGATGGTGGCAGTAGCTCTGAAAGTGAGGATTGATGATGGTTGGTTTTAGGGTTTTGTATTATGTTTAATAGTAACCTTCGATTTTTTTTTTCGACGAAGATGAATATTTTCGACTATTGTGGAAACTGTGATTGGGTGGTCTGAAAAGTTTGTTATGTACCTTATGGGATGTGTTTATTTGTGATTTTCAACATTTGTAAATTCTATTTAAAAGTCGATTTGTTAGTTTAATGTTTCCACGTTTCGGACATGTATCGTGCATGTCGAATACCTTATAGGCTATTTTGTAATTTCTAAAAAGTTATAGACATGTTTGAATAGCAAATTTTCAAATGTTTTTGTTGCTTTCATAATTATTTACATGTTTTAATGATCAATTGTAAATTGGTAATTTGTTTGACTATGTTTGTATAAAGATATAATTATTAATATATTTATATATAAAAACAAAAACGCATAAGTTCCGTATCCCCAATTTTTTGATATGTCGTTTTTTCGTGTCTGTTTCCCGTACTGCCGTTTCCACATCAGTGCTACATAGTTTGTAAGTAAATTGATTTCAAATTTTAGTTTAATTTGATGAAATGTGTAAATTACCCTAATAAATAGCAATTTCCCCAATAACGGTGTCCTTTTACAATACTATGGTGACGCGCGCCACTAACACACTCGCCGGCACGCAAAGTAATATAGCTTATTCCTTTGCTTGAAATGTTCATTTAAAAATGTATTTTTCAATATTAATTTGTGTATGTATTAATTAATATATTATGTTACCATCAAAATAGCAGCATAATTTTACTTTACTTGAACTGATCATTTAAAAATAATATTTTCTTTTTCACCATAAAATAATAATAAATAAATTAATTAATTAAAAATCTCTTAGTGGGAATAATAAAAAAAAAATAGTAGAAAAAAGAAAATGAGGAAGCCATGTGCAAGAATGATAGCATTTGCTGGCACATGCAATTTTTAATCCCACCAAGAAAATGTAAATACGACTTTTTATAGCATGTGCCAATTTCCTAATTCCCCATATCCCTCCAAATTCCACCAAGTCATACCCATGTGACATTTGACGACAACTCTCTCTTTTTTTATTTTTTTATTTAAAACTATTTACAATCAACCCCTAATAAATAAATAAAATTACAATTACACACCTAACAAACAGAGAAGTAAAATGAGAATATTTGAACGAATATTGTAAATACTGCTTATATTTATTTTAAAATATGGTAGACATATATACCAAATGTATGTATAATGGTCAGAAATGGGTTCCAGCTGGTTTCAAATTGACTAGTAGATTATCCAATCTACTACATTGAAAATAAATACATAAATAAATACACTTTGTTGTAATCCAACTGTCAATCATATCCACCCATTAAAAAAAAATAAAGGCAAGTAAAATGCCAAAACCTAGTAACATCTGTAATAATAATTAAAACTAAAAAGAATAGTTGTTCTTTTGGTACTGTAAAGCCATAATAAATACATTTTGGAAATAAAATAACATCAAAAAAAAAGAATTTAAGAAAAAAAAAGAAACAGCTTGTGTATGAAAAACTACAACTGAAGGGGGGCTGCGCCCCCCATACAGTTGAGATGTTAAAGAATTAGCAGCTGGTTCAAAGTTTTATACACAAGTAAAAAAACCGAAAACCGAGAATACTAGAAAGTTCTTCAATCAAGAACCGCCGCTGAAGCCTCGGCTGTCCTTTTTCGTCGTCTTACCCAACTCCATTTCCCGGGTTTGGCCGCCTTCGCTGCTTGACCCGGATGGATTCAACCCGTATTCGCTAGTCGGGTTGCTGTACTGATCGCTGCTACCGTATTCTTTACTCTCGAGTGCTATTTTTCTGAACTTCTTCATGTCCTCGTTGTACTGATTCGTGTCGTAATCGGAGCTCCCGTGAGAACTGTACACCGTGCTGTGCCCCGGTCTTATTCCTTCGTTCAGATCCGATAGCGATACGTCTCCTTCTAACGCCCTCACAACCTGTCGAGATTTTTCGTTTCGTACATCGTACAATCAGAATCAAAACTTGCTTATGCTTATATGCTAGTAAATCGGAAAAATAAAAAAAATAATCTACCTGGCTCATTCTAGGGCGACGCCTAGCTGAGTGGCGAACGCAAGCAGCGGCACATGCAACCATGCGGGCCATCTCGTTCGCATTGTGCTCGTTTCTCAGCCGTTGATCGATAAGAGAATCAAAGTTTCCATCTTCAAGAGCTCGTGTGAGCAAAGGCCTTGCCTGTATAGTTACAAAATTCATCGTGTCGGTTAAACAATCATTATTATTTTAATTGCACATATAACCAACCAATTAGCATCGATCGTACGATTGATGTAAGAAGATATATACATACTCACCCAATCTACCAAACTATCGTCCATGTAAGATTGATCTGTGTCAACAGGTCGTTTGCCAGTGATCAACTCTAACAGCATAACTCCAAACGAGAATACATCTGACTTATCTGTAAGTTTTCCCGATGACGCATACTCTGGAGCCAAATACCTACATTACAGGGATATATGTTAGCATTATTATTATACAATTTTAGGTGGATATTTCCGTTCGATATAAAATATAGTAAAACGAAAACGAATTGTTTTTACCCAAAAGTTCCCATTACTCTCGTGGAGATGTGAGTATTGAGGTCGGAAGTAAACTTGGCAAGACCGAAATCCGCGACCTGAGAAAAATAATTCATATTCATCAGTACTCAGTTTTCCATTGCAAATTTTCACAAGGCTTTGTTTGGTTCGTGGATTATGAAACGAGGAAAACGTAAAATGCAAAAGCAAATGAAAACAAAGAATTTAACCTCCTAACCAAACAGGAAATCTATTTTACCAGTCCTTTCATCTTTTACTTGGTCGAAACACGGACAAAAGTATTCAATCAAGAATGACACTATCGGGAAACATATTACCTTCGATTCAAAGTTGAAGTCGAGCAGTATATTAGACGCCTTGATATCCCTATGAATAATTTTCGGATGACCTTATGTAGCAAAAACAAAAAAACCATCATTTTAGAATCAAATAAATAAAGAAAAAAAAAGCAATTATCGCCAACAAACGCACAGCAAGAAGAACTCACAATCCTCGTGCAGATAAGCAAGTCCCTTAGCTGCACCCATAGCAATCCTCAATCGTGTGGGCCAATCCATCACGGGTCTCCCCTTAGCTGAAATTTATTACACACATATCAAAACTTAATACAAAAAACAAAAAGAAAACATAATCCATAACGAAAAAGAAACGCTGTAATAACCAACCATGCAAGTGGAATTCCATGGTATTGTTGGGAACAAACTCGTAAACGAGCATTCTCTGATCGCCAGCCATGCAGTACCCAACCAAAGAAACGAGATGCTTATGATGAACTCTGCTAATAATCTCAACCTCAGCTTGAAACTCACGCTCCCCTTGTCCGCTCCCGGCTTTCAGCTGCTTAACGGCAACTTCCTTCCCGTTCGGAAGAACTCCCCTATGGACATACCCAAAACCGCCTTGTCCTAAAAGATTTGCGTCCGAAAAGGCATCGGTGGCCATCGACAGTTCTTCGTAAGTGAATGTGCTTTTGGAAAACCCTAGAGACATTCCCGGGGAGGGGGGCGGGAGGGGGGTGGTCGGGCCGGAGTAGTTCGAACCGGAGCCTCCACTGCTGCTGATGTAGGCTTGTGGGGGTGGCGGCGGTGACGGGGCGTGGGCGGGTGAATGAGGTGGCCTGGATGCGCCACCTGGCGGTGGAGATGGCTTGGGAGGGATTGTGACCAAGTGATCGGCTGGAAATGGAGCGTTGTGCTGCCATTGTTGTACTTGACCTCCGTATGGATCGCCTGGAAAATGTAAAAACGACGTGTAAATAAGTCGGCACACTCAATCGAACCTAACTAACCGTAATTTTTTTTTCCTCTAATTTTTTTTTAGCTAAAATTAGATTTATTGAGGATAATTACTAGACAATGCATCCAAGGAAAGCTATTAGAGATAAGATAAATCTCCACCACTGAAGAACAAGAAACAAAATGTAAAAATATCTTTTGCTGACATCAGCCATGTGCAAAAAACAATATATGAATTTTTGAAAGGGCATCTTCTGGATTGAGAAGGATCTCGCTAAACAATCAATCAAATGAATCGAAACAGAGAAATTGAATTTAATTTTGAAGAAAACAAAGAATCGGATATGAATTTCAATGGCGGATTGATGTGAAAATTTTATCACCTTTAGGGCCGGGTGGTGGGGGCGGAGGCATGTAATAATTCGGCTGTTGTCTTCTCTTCTTCTTCTTGCAGCAGATGAACATGATACTCAGAAGCGCGAGTATGAGTACGCCTCCCACAGCTATTCCGACAACCACTCCCGTCGATATTCCCGAGGATCCACCGGGGGAAGACGGTGGAGATCCCCCTGAGCCGGACGGAGCCGGAGGAGAGCCCCTAGTCGGTGGCGCCGGCGGAGAACCCCTTTCCGGAGGCGCGGGTGGAGAACGGCCGCCTGTAGGTGGTGGTGGAGAACGAGTTCCAGTGGGAGCCGGCGGGGATGGAGGAATTGGGGATCCGGATGGAGGAGTTGCGGCTGGGGGAGATGGGGGGCTGGTCGCCGGAGGTAGGGTTGGAGATGGAGGAGAAGGCGTGGTTGATGGAGGAGGAGCGGTGGGAACTGGCGGAGGTGGGGAGGACGCCGGAGGCGCGGAAGTGTCCGGCGGAGTGGGACTCGCCGGTGGGGGAGATGTCGCTGGAACAGGTGGCGGCGGTGAGGCCGCGGCGGCGGGTGGTGGAGAGGGGTTTGCTGGAGGGGATGTGGGAGGCGGCGCGGCCCCCGGCGCAGGCGACGTTGACATCTTCTAAAACCCTATGCAATTAAGGAATAATCAGAGGAATAAAAATCAGCCGCCGGAGTAAAAGCTTTGATTTGGCAACGACGGCGGACTGTGATTTTTCTCACACTAGATTTTGTTTTAGAGAGAGAATGTAGTCGTTGGTAATAATGAAGAGAAGAACAAACTCTATAAAGTGGGTTTTGATTTTGTTTTTGCTTTTGGGTTTTCTTTTTCTTTTTTTTTTATTTTTTATAAAATAATAAATAAATAAATAAATTTGAAAAGTTCAATTCTTCGAGTCAAGTGGAGAAAAGCTGGAGTGAGAATTTTTGTTTTTATTTTTATTTTTATTTGTATTTTTATTTAGTAAATAGTAAATAAATCTACTTATCAACAGCTAATGATTATGATTTTATCAAACGCGTTTGTATATTTTTTTAATTATTAATTAATTAATTAATCCGCAGTTACCTCTAACAGTAGGTGTCTAACAAAATAATTGACATTTGAGTTACGTGACCAAATTATGTTTAGCAAATTTAATGTGAATATTATTTTATAATAATGAAATGAAAAATATGAAAAATGTATATTGTATTTCCTTTTCAAATGGATTTAGTTTTCATAAATAAATCATTTTTTACTTTTATTTAGCAAATTAAAGTTATGGGTTCATGGTAACTATATCCGCATTGAAGATAATGATAGTAATTAAATAAATATAAATTGTTGTAGTATAATTAATGTAACCAGATTAGGTTTGAGAATCACTGTAAAATAAAATAAAAAACAATTGGATATGAGCATAAATGAATTGTTGTCAAACCAAAATTAAATATTGTTCTGACTTAATTTAATTATAAAATACTTAAATTGACTAGTTTTAATTTGAATAGTTGCATGGTTTATGCAATTTTTATTTTTTTAAGAATTCCAACTGGTCAAAATTAATTGGAGACTCGCACAAATCTTTTAATTTGATTATTGGAATTTAATTTTTGCAGGCCTGAGCGCGTGGTGCGGAGCGCGTGAGGGGGCGACAAGCGAAACAGGTTGGAAAAAATGTGGGACCCACACACGGAATTAATTTCCGGGTTTTACTCTTCCGATAATTTTGGTATTCTCGTTTGGTGGCGGTCCTTATTCATGTTTGGTTCTCTCTCTCTGTTATCCCAACTAAAAACAATCACAATTTTTATTTTATTTTTATTTTATTTTTATTTTTTTATTTCATTTTTTTATTTTCTTAATAATTATTGGGCCTTAGTCCAAAAAAAATATAAGATCAATTCAAATTCAATAATAAGTGGGATCGTAATTTCACAAGTTCTAGCCCATTTCGGCCGATTAAGTTAATTACACTTAATTAAGAGCCCAACCCCATATTAACTTAATTATATGTAGGGGTCTTTAGCAATAAACCCCTTGGATGAGTAATAAATGGTGATATGTCCAACCCTTAAATCTTTCTTTGTGATAAACCCCTATAAATATTAATTCCAATACTACCCTTCTGAAATTAGAAAATCTCCTACTCAAAAATAATCCATCCCAGTAATACACGTCCCTTTCCTTAAATAATGCCAAAATAATAGTAATTTTTTTCCAACTCAATATTCAAATCCCTTGAAATTAGCCAACTAATTAAAAAAATAAAAAATCACCTTAATATACTCCATAAAATCAGCCAACAAATTAAAAAAGAAAAAGAAAAATTGCTTCTTCACATACAAAATCAAAACTCACGTGCAAGATGAAGTTTTTTTTTTAATTATTTTTTTTTCATGTTTTTTTAATATTTTCTTAAATTCTTTTAAACGAAAAACTGATTTTTTTTCCCGACAAGTTTACTACGCCGAATATGACTATAGTTGAATAAGATTATAGGCATATTTTCTTAATTTTTTTTAACAAAAAATTGATTTTTTTTCCCCGACAAGTGTACTACGCCGAATATGACTATAGTTGAATAAGACTATAGTCTAATATGACTATATGTGACTATATCAACTGTAGTCATATTCTTTCTTTATATTGCATTTTTTAAAATTTGTAACTTCAAAATTCCAATTATATAGTGAGGTAAAGTGATGTTTATCAAATTATATAAAACAACTAAAATTCCCTATTGTTTAGGGAAACAATGCAATCAACATCCACACAAAAAGATCACAAAAAATCACAATTTGAATCTTGTTATTACAAGTCAACTTGAAACGAGAATATAGAACATATTCGAATATGACTACAATGATATTCAACAGTAGTCATATTCGAAAAATACATAAATATGACTATAGTCATGTTGCTGCTACTGTACATATTTGAACTGTATTTTCAGATTTGGAAAAAAAGAAAAAAGAAGGAGAAATTGAAAAATACATAAATAAAAAAATTGATAAAAAATCATTATATACATATATATCGACTCCACTAACTCAAGTATGATGATAGGCTCCCTCTCTCTCTCTAATATTTAAACACACACAATCACAATGAAAAAACCTTAAATGCCAAAAGTAATCATGAGTTGCTGAGAAACTTCCAAGAACACGAAAACAGAAAGTAGCAAAAAAAATCGAATAGTCACATTCGAACCAGACTGTAGTCACGTTGATGTTGCTGCTTCACATCTAGAGAGAAAAAAAAAAGAAAAAAATTAAAAATAACGAAAGGAAGGTGGTGTGATATGTATGAGGCGACAACATGAGTTTTTTGGGAGGTTTGACACCGTAGAAAGTCTTGACGGCATTCGAACCAGACTGTAGCCAAAAAAAAATTGAATAGTCACATTCGAATCAGACTGTAGTCACGTTGATGTTGCTGCTTCAGATCTGGAGAGAAAAAAAAAAGAAAAAAATCGAAAATAACGAAAGGAAGGTGGTGTGATGTGTAGGAGGCGACAACATGAGTTTTTTGGGAGGTTTGACACCGTAGCAAGTCTTGACGGCATTCGAACCAGACTGTAGAAAAAAAAAATCGAATAGTCACATTCGAACCAGACTGTAGTCACGTTGATGTTGCTACTTCAGATCTGGAGAGAAAAAAAAGAAAAAAAATCGAAAATAACGAAAGGAAGGTGGTGTGATGTGTAGGAGGCGACAACATGAATTTTTTGGGAGGTTTGACACCGTAGCAAGTCTTGACGGCACAACCCTAGACGGCGGCTGTGATCTCGGTGGTTGGGTGAGTAGATAATGGCGGTGATGAGAAAAGGAGGGAGGAGGGCGGCGACGCTGGTGTAAATCTCAAATGCAAGCGGCAGCGGCAGATCTGCAAAGAAGAATACGGGAAAAAAAAAAAAAAAAAAAGAGAGGAAATAGAGATTACGAGAGAACAGAGAGAGTTTCACGTGAGAGAGAACGGCAAAGAAGAAGGGGAAAAAAACTGTTGTTAAGGGTAATTATGTCTTATCCTATCTTAATAAGGGGGTCTCACTAATTAAGATTGGGATATGGGTGTGGGAGAAAGTCTAAAAAGTCAAGTGGGTTTTTTACATAATATTGTCCATTTTAGGGGGGGGATTGCATATTTCCCCTTATATGTATTTATTGACCACATTTATGATATTAAAAAAATAAAAAAATAAAAAATAATAAGTTGAAGAAAGAATTTTATCCAATTAGAATGAGATTAAATCATGTATATCCTGGCCTTGATCTTGATAAGTTGTGGATGTATCACTATCTTGACAATTTAATTTTCTTACTAATTAGGAAATATATAATCTAGGTAAAATTAGTGAAATTGATTATTTGGTTATTGGGGTTGCGTTCATTCAAGGATTTGATTTGATTTTCTAATTATTTATGCAATCAGTTAGTAAAACATAACGAGTGTGGACTAAGAGGGTGTTTGGCTAAGCTTATTTTAAACAGCTGATAAGCTCTTACGTCTGATAAGATGTTTTTAGAGCTGATAAGCTGTTACATCTTATTTTTAAGATTTATTTTTAGAGTGTTTGGATAATGAGCTTATTTCGTATTTTTACTCATTAAAAGATCTTAAATAAAAAGGTGGGGTAGAGATACTTTTTTAAAAAGATTTTATTTGCTCTCCAACAGCTTATTTTAAAAAAAATAAGATCTTTTTTTAAAATAATTACCAAACACTTTAGAAGAGCTTATAAGCTCTAAAACATCTTATAAGCTCCTTTTAACATCTTATAAGCTTAGCCAAACACCCTCTAAATTTCAATTAATTCAAACCCCCGGTCATGATTTTTGAAATCCCTGTTTAGATCACTTTTTTGGAATTAATTCAAATTTGTTGGATTGAACCGCGATTTACGATTATTTTTGTGTAACTCGATCGCGGCGAAAAGAATTTGCAAAAAAAAAAAAACAGCGCTAGAAACCGGTGGACAACGATGACGGCGGTTAAAATTGAGTTAGAGGTCAAATTTAAATAATCGGTGAATTTTGAATGAAATTATGGGTAAATTAGAAGATGGAATTGAAGTATATTCAGATTTGAGTCTGAACCTTGTATTATTTTGGGTCGATCTGTTATGAATAAATAGTCCACCATGGGTTTATTGTTAATAACCTTTGAAAAATATTTATTTTCTGAAAATAAATAGTGAAGAATTAAAAATTTATTAATTAAAAAATAACAAATAATAAATTCACCATTCAAACTGTGTACCATTATTTTATAATCTATAAGAATATTTTTTTTTTTTTGAGAAAATAATAATTTTTCAATATTCTACAAATTTGGGTGAGAGATTTGTCATGCTTCATAATCAACGCCGTGAATACCTGCTCACATGGTTTGGGTTTTCTATTTTTCTAATATATTAATTAATATCATTATCTTCATAATCAACGCCGTGATTCACTTAACGATTGCTAAATGTAAAAGCACATTTTATAAAGTTTTTAACTGTTAAATTTCTTTCATATAAATAAATATATGGATTATAGAGTCGGTTGGGCCAAACTCCGAATAGACATAAAATTCTGAATCGGTCAGACATAACCCATTAAGTACGTTTGGTGTAGACATCTTAATGATTCAATTTACCACTTACCGAATCAGTCAAAAAACGCTCGCTTATTGAGTCAGAGCTTCTCTGAACGGATTTTTGACACATTTATCCCTACAAAAACTTGAGTTTGCAATATTAAAATAATTATAAAAAAAAAATCTCGTGGGCAGAAAAAATTGAGGGGGTGACGATGGTTGTTGTGGTCTTGGGGTTGTACCCACTAACCAATTTTTTATTCAATTGTATTGTTGCCGAAAACAATAGTCAGTTTTTGGCTTTTGTAAAATCTTCATTTTAATTATATTATTTTATAACGAAGAAATGTATAATTCTTTAACTCCACATATTTTATGATTTTTTTTAGCATAAAAAGTACTAATTAATTCAACTAATATATAATTTATTCTTAGGGATAATATCGTAATCTTACATTATTAAGATATATAATTATCAAACGAACTTATTTGTTCAGCATTAAGCGTTCAGATAATATTCTTAACCATTCAGCTATTTATTCATCATTCACCATTAAGTGCTTAATTTTATCAAACACAGCCTTATTCTAATCAGTTATGAAAACGTATATAATCTTCATTTTAGGCCTAAGCTGAAAATTATTAATCCATTGGGCCTGAGACCATATTTTGTATTTGGGCTTCAACCCGGGAGAGATTATTACGGCAAAAAAAAAAAAGAAAAAGAATTATTAATAATTAATTTTATGCCAATATTTGGGAAAAAAATATTTTAAATATTTTTTGCATAAAATAATTGACACATATAAGAAGCAAAGTACTTCAATTTTAATTTTATTATACAGTGAAGTATAGTGCCAAAATAAATTTGTTTGACTTGATAACATGCTTCAAATTATACTCTAAAGTCTTGAGGATAATGCACTGATGTATGACCAAATTACGAAAAGATCCCTCTTGCTCGGGTAATTACAGTCAGCCCCTTCATTTAAATATTTTTCCATAAACGGTATTAAATATTGGCGTACCGAAATTTTGTTCCGGTTTAACGAACTAACACTCCCTAAATTAACTCTGGATGAGTCTTTTCGTTAGATAATACATAGTTGAGGGGGTGACTGTTATTACCAAAATAAGAGGAAGTTTTCGTAATTTAATCAACTCGTGGGTAGCCGTAGATTGCCCTAAACGTTATTAAAATAATTTTTCTGAAGTCTAATATTTAATTTCCAATTTAGTAATATTTTATTATTTTTGGTATTGCGTATGCGGAAAAGTGGGGGAAAAATTATAAATAAGAAAATAGGCATATTCCACAGCATATTATTTATGCCGATATTCAAATTAATAAATAAATAAATACGCATTTTCGATTTAAAAAATTAATAACGTAAAAGCAAAAGGACTATTGAGCAAATTAAAGTCAATTGGCTCGGCTTGAGCCGCAGCTCTGAGTGGTGTGTTTTGTATAATTTATTATTATATTTCTTCTCAACCTCAGCAACTAGTGCAACTAGGATATTTACATTATATTAAATCTGTTTATTTTATTTTATCAGAATATTATATTAAAGCATTGCAGCAAATATCTATTCAAGCATATCTGTTTGAAAGTTGCTTTGCACAATTATTAATTCGGGGCAGTAATTCGATTTTTTTTAAAGAATATATTCTTAAAAAATAGCTTAGAAATAATTAAATATTTTAAATTTGAATTGAAGTAACAGAAATTTATAATATTGTATATCTCAAATGAATTACATTTTATTGAAATTTATATATATTTATTTTGGATTTTAATGTGTAAAAACTAAAAAGTGTTTAAGTGGACTAAAATATACTAATATAATAAAAGAAATATAAAATTAAATATATTATTTATCACTTCACACAGTCCCACACTCTAGTCTAGAGTGATTGAAATTGCCACGTGGCAACTAAATGGGGAATAAAAAAATTTAGAAAACGTCGGCTTCGTTAGGAGGAATAAAACCAAGATATCCTCTTCGGACAAAAGAATATTCCCAATTATGCCCTTCGCATATTCTCTCTCCACCATTACCGTTATATATCAAATCACCCCATCCCAGCGGCACAATTCCCCTTATTTCATCTTCCTCAGAAAAAAAATTAAAAATTAAATTCTAGCAAATCCAATCGAAGAAGATCGTGATTTCAATTGGCCGAATTTTTCGATTTATAATTTTTTGTATTTTTCGGATTTTTTTTATTTATTTTTAATTAAGGATGAAATTCGGGAAGAGTTTGAGCAACCAGATTGAAGAGACGCTGCCGGAATGGAGGGACAAGTTTCTCTCGTATAAGGAGCTGAAGAAACGGCTCAAGCTCATCGAGCCGAAGCCGAAGCCGTCTCTCTGCGACGAGGAGAGAGCTCAGAAGAGGCGGAAAATGGACGACGGCGGCGGCGGAGATAGGGTGGCGATGACCGACGAGGAGGTCGATTTCGTCCAGCTTTTGGAGGACGAGCTCGAGAAATTTAACGCCTTTTTCGTTGAGAAAGAGGAGGAATACATCATCAGATTGAAGGTAATTTCTTCACCTAATTGTATGGGAGTTTAATTTTTTTTGTTGTTGTTGTATTGGACCTTCAATTCTTATGTGTTGATGCTTGAATTGGGCGTCGATGGTGAAACGACGCCGTTTCACGAGTCATGAATTTTTCAGAATCCTCTTATAAATGTCATAAAGGAAACTGAAAATTGATCATTTTTACTCAATTGTAAGATAATTTATACATATGCTGCTCAATTTTAAGACAGAAAGTTTGGAATCATAGAAACAACCCAACAAATTATAATATAGCCAATTCTTGTAGCGTGGTACTACGTTAGTAATTACATATATGATACATAACAATTACTAGGAGAGTTGTCAATATTTGAAACTACCACAGTCGTTGATTGGATTGCACCGTTTGGTATACAGGAACTTCAGGATAGAGTGGCAGGGGCAAAAGATAGGAAAGACGAGATGATTAATATTCGTAAAGAAATTGTCGATTTTCATGGAGAGATGGTTTTGTTGGAGAATTATAGTGCTCTTAACTATACCGGTAAAAATTTCTTCGATCCTTTTCTTCTGTCGTTTCGTTTTCGTTCATTGCATGTCTGTGAATGTACGACTTGGAAGTTTGAAATGAAAGATTCATTAATTTTATACATTTAGGCCTCGTTTGGTTGGAGAGATTAGTCATGATTAACTAAATAATTGGACTTTATTAGATGTTTGGTATCCCCAAATAACTTACCGGATCGGCTCGCGCAAATTATGTATCATAGCTTATCTTGCCTTTTAGAGAGTTTTCTTTGTTGGACGTCCCTAGGTCCGATAATATTTCATTAAATCTTGGCTAATCTTGTCTTGTCAACCAAACAAGGCCTTAGGATTTCATATGTTATTATAACTCTGTTTCTGCCCCCTAATTAAACATTCGTGACTACACAGTTTCATTCGTATTGTGTCTGATAACAAGTAAAGAAGAGTTGCTGCCTAAATGCTTTTCAGATTATAGCTTAAAACCACTTATTTTTGGGCTAAACATAATAATACGTATTGGCTAGTATGCTCACACTTGTCTTTGTTTATCTTCTAAGTGCCTCAACAAAGTGGTTACTAGTACACACATTCTATTGATGACAATTACTTGAATCTCACCATTTCCCGCGAAATTCGAAACAGGATTGGTTAAGATATTGAAGAAATACGACAAAAGAACCGGTGCCCTCCTTCGACTGCCCTTCATCCAGAAGGTTCTTCAACAGCCCTTCTTCACCACAGACTTGCTCTACAAATTTGTGAAAGAGTGCGAGAGAATGCTCGATCGAATGTTCCCTGTCAAGGAAGAAGACACCTTATCATCTGCTACTACTACTACTACTACTACTACTGATGGAATCGACGGCCCAACAAGTTCGGCGATCGACGACCGTCTGATCAAAGAATCGAAGGAACTAGCAGAGATAGAGTACATGAAGAGCCTGTACATGAAGAGTAGTTTAGCTGCACTGAGGATTCTGAAAGAAATACGAAGCGGCAGTTCTACTGTTAGCGCATTTTCTTTGCCGCCGCTGCAGGGTAGTGGATTAGAGGACACGTGGAACACAATCCCTGTTCTTGAGCAGGTTGCTAAGTAGTGATAGTATGAGGAAACTAGGGTTTTCTCTTTATTAATTATTCTCACTTGTGAAATTTCGATGATATTTTTGTTTTTTTTGGTTGTGCATGAATTTTTCGATACGAAAGCAGTTGTAAAGTGCTTAGGAATTATGTATCAAGAATACTTTGGATCAATCCAAGGGCTACGCATATGAAAATCCCGTTTTCTTACATAGTTTGTACATGTGTATAGATCTATACCTATATGCGTGTTTCATCTGATTAGCATTCAGAAGTCCGTATTTTTTTTCTTGACGAGAAAATCCACAACCACTGCGTAAACTCCGCCCTCGAGAGATGCAAATCATGTATGACGAGTTCGATTCGAACTCAGTCAAATGACACAACACTGTCTTGCTCTATCAACGGGTACACCTCTTACGACGCAAGAAATAACATCTACAAGACCGTAATTTTTTTTATTTTTTTGAGAACTACAAGACCGTAATTAAACGTATGGAGAGAGAGAGAGAGAGAGAGAGAGAGAGAGAGAGAGAGAGAGAGAGAGAGAGAGAGAGAGAGAGAGAGAATTGCAGAAAATTTAATAATTAATATACTTAATTTTCCAATAATCCAGATGTCCAAGCTTCGTCCGACTAATTTTGGGAGTAAACGGTCGTCTCCTTTAGTTCATCTATCAGCTAATTTCGAATACTGGGAGTAAACGATCGTCTCCCTTAGTTCATCTATCAGCTAATGTTTATCGTCTCCCTTAGTTCATCTATCAGCTAATTTCGAATACTGGGAGTAAACGATCGTCTCCCTTAGTTCATCTATCAGCTAATTTCGAGTACGGTCGAAGTCTATAAACACTTGCAATGAACTTTCATGTTTATGTAACAATTACAGTAAAATATCTTACTATGTTAATAAAAAAATAAAGGCGGCCGTTATATGCAAGTCCATTTTTTCATTAGTTCAAGACCTCTAACATGAAAATACTAATTTACCCTTAATGAAATTCAAAAGTAAATAAAAAACACAAAATATTAAAAAAATAAAAATATATTTCCTTTGTGCAAGACCAAATAAAATACATAACCCTAGAAATCTCCTTTCATTATTTCACGACTTAAAAATCTCCTCCTTCTTCTTCACAAAGCCACCAAGAAACCCTACACGTCGAAATTATCAAATACACACCAAACATTCAAGATGGAGCCAGAAAACAATGATATGGTGGTTTACGAGGGTGGAGAACACAATAAGGTATGTTTTGACCGTTTATTTTTGCTTTTGGGTCGTTTTCTTTTTGTTGGAAAAAAAATCGACGACACAAAAAATCGGTATTTATAAACCGACTTTTGTTGCAAAAATCGGCAACTATAGTCCGATTATTGGAATACAAATCGGTACTCAATACCCGATTTGTGTAGTAAAAACCGGCATGACAAAGCCGATTTTTTGTCTATAACCGGTGTTATCATGCCGATTTAGACTACATAAAATCGGTTTTTGAGAACCGATTTTATTATATATGTTTTTTTAAGACCGTTTTCCCGTACTTTCTTGCAGCAACCTAGGGGATTGATGGAGGATTATTCGGATGAATTTTCTATGGAACAAATATTTGAGACACGAGAAGCTCTACTTGAGTGGGTTAAAGGTGTTGGTAGACGCCACGGAATGGTGATAAACACTTTCGTTTGAAATCCGGGATTGAAAGGGCGTAGAAGACCGTATGTAATACTCGCATGCGAACGTGCGGGTGAATATCGTGGGAAGAAGAAAGCCGGTGAGGATGACCAAGGAGAGGGAAAGAGGAAGACGGGTTCTAAAAAATGTAATTGCACATTTAGATTAAATGGGACAAAACAAGGAAAGGATACTGATAATGTTGGGTGGGATTTAAAAGTTCAATGTGGTACTCACACCCACACGGATTTTGAGAACTTGCACGGCCACTCTTATGCCGGGAGACTAACAAAAGAAGAGATGGTACTTGTTGAAGGAATGTCTAAAGCAATGGCAAAGCCGAAGGCGATTCTCAAATCATTGAAGATAAGGGACGAGACGAATGTAGCTGGAATGAGGACAATTTACAATTATCGTCAGAAATTGCAATTGAAAGAGAGACTTGGAACATATATATGTATGAAGCATACCTCTAAAGTTGTATTACACCTTAGAATAATGTGTATAACGAGTTGGAAAAAACATAAAAAAAAAAAAGCGAAAAACAATGACATATCGGATTCATGAATTAAAAATCGATTCTCTAGAACCGATATCTCACGGGTTTTAAAAAAAGTTAAAAAGTTACCATGAGACCAAAGTTTTGAAACAAAAAAAAAAAAAAAAAATAGACATATATCGGTGCTAGAGAACCGATTTTGAAATAAAAAATCGGTTCTAGAAAACCGATTTTTCTTTGAAAAATCGGTTCTCTAGCACCGATATTTTTCTGTTTTTCCAAAATTTAAAAAAAAAAGTTGTAAATCGGTATAGGAAAACCGATTTTTTAATGAAAAATCGGTTTTCAAGAACCGATATTTCACGGTTTTTTTGTTAATTTTTTTTTGGAAAAACCGTGATATATCGGTACTTGAAAACCGATTTTGTAAAGAAAAATCGGTTCTCTAGTACCGATATCTATCTGTTTTCGTTTTTTTTTTATTTTTTTTATTTTTTTTTCCAATGTATGATTACTATCATGTGCGATAAATATATCATTAATAGCATAATAAAACCATCAAAATGAAATAGAAATCAATTTGCAATCCAATTGATCAAGTCCAAAAAAGATAAATAAAACCTATAAATACTATGCATAGTGAAATTGTCTTAGCAAAATACTACAAAATATAAAATACTACTTCTTCATCGCCGTCCTCCTCCGAAAGACCTTACGTGGTTGGTCTGCAGGTGGGGCCAATGTTGAAGATGGTGCCGATGGTGCCGGTGGTGAGGATGTCGGTGTAGGAGCTGATGACGACGGCAGGATGGTCGACGGGGTCTCATCAAATAATGCTAAGATCTCATTCAACGTCGACCACATTGTACTATGAGCATCACTAACGTCCATTTGACGTACGTTGGTGAGAGTTCCCTTAACCATGTCAAAGATCTTCATGTCCCTTGATTGTGGTGGATCTGTCCCAACGTCTTGCGGTGGTCGAGCTGCTTTGGATCGTGGTGCATGTGGTCGAGATGCCTGAGCGGTACTAAGGCGAGTAAGAGTGTGCTCTCTAAACCAATCCATATACGCAGAAGACGTATCGGGCTGCCCATCAAGTACTGGAGTCGATCTCGTCTCGGCATCCAAGCAATACTCATCCCATCGATCGAATAAACGATCGTGGAGTGGGACAAATGACATTTCAGAATTATCACGTGACCTGTATCTCTTCGCCATGTATTGCTTCGCCATAGTTTCGGACATGTAGGGACACCCCGGTATTTGTTGGACCCGACTAAACTGGCGCAATACCCTATCTGGATGGTGTGGCTGCAAGAAGTCCAAGCAACATAGCATTCCGCTGAACCACGCCGATTCGGGCATCGGGAAACGATCACGAAGTTCTAAATATGGGTCCCATATAACCTACGCGAATATGTTTACTATTAACTCCTTCAAAAATCGAAAAAAAAAAATTAACAAACAATTGACAATTTACCTCATCCGGTTTCAACTCGTCTAACATCAAACGCAAATGCCGTGCTCGTTCCACACTTGTCGTCGAATTCTTCGGATACACCCATCGGTTGGCCAAGTACCCCTCAAACTTTGGCCGAAATGTTGGATTGAAGGATGGGAAATGCTCGTAAATCCACGCATGAAAGAGCGTCAAGTATCCGTTCAGTTGCGCAGTTGTAGCCTTCGACATTTAAAAAAAATTTAAAAAAATCAATTGATCAAATATATATAAAAAAAAAAAACGAAAAAAATCGGTATACTAAACTCGATTTTGTAATCATTAATCGACATTACAACGCCATTTTTTTTTTGTAAAATTGAAGTTCTATAGCCTATTTGGTGAACAAATTTCAGCATCATAACACCGATTTTTTTTAAAATAAATCAGTTTGTATAAACCGATTTCCGGAATAACGAAGAATAAAAAAAAAACCAATTTCAATCTCAATTTTTTTCCAAATAGCATAAATCATTGCAACCCAACAAGAAATAAGTATAGATTAATGTTCATCCACACATATTTATCAAGAATCTATACTCGATTGATGTTTTCGTATGTATAAACAAAAGTTTCATAAGAGGGCCTTACTTGTTGGTGGTGGTGGTGATGGTGCGGTGGAGATGGTTTGGTGGTGGTGATGGTGCGGTGGTGGTGGCTTGCTGATCGTCGTCGGCGGTCTAGTGGTGGTCGTGCGGCAGTCTTGGGCGGTGGTCGTGCGGTGGTCTTCTGCGGTAGGCGTGCGGCGGTCTTCTGCCAAGGTCGTGCGGCCGTTTTGTTTTTACGTATTCTTTTTTCTTTTTTAATTTCTTTTGTGTTTTTTATTTTTTGGTTTTGTACAAATAAAAAAGTAGGGTTAATTTGTATTTAGGTATTATTTAAGGATAAGGGTATATTCGTCCTCTTTGGTCTTGTTATAATAAAATTAAATTAATTTATGGGTTTGAACTAATAAATCTCTTAATGTGGGTTTGAACTAATAAAAAAATGGGCTTGCATATAACGGCCGCCAAAAATAAAAGAAGATGACTTCATAATATGTAATTATATCTCATAGCAATGTATCATCGGTTCATATTTTAAAGGATAAAATTCATTTTTCACTTCTACTGCTATGAACATCCACAATTGGGCTCTCTAAATTATTTTTTACTCCAATCGTACATTTTTGGTACTCTCTAAAATAGCTCTCTAAATATTAAATTATAATAAAATATTCATTATTAACATTCAAAAAATCGAAATTTATATATTCTAATTAATAAATCGTATATAACTCTTGATTATTTTAAATTTTAAATCATGCTATCTTATCTAATATTTTATAATGTTTTTCTTTATCCAAGATATTTTATAATGTTTAATTATGTTATGAGTTTGAATTAGTTTGTTTATTTTTATATATATAAATTAATTTTTAAAACTTGATTTCATTTTCATTAAAATATTACAAATTTTATTAAAATTATCATATTTTTTATATACTGATTGATAAAGCTTGTTATTTAATTATTATTAGCATTATTATTACTATTTAATATAATATAAATGAAAAGAACTAAGAAAATAATAAAAAATGAGAAGGGAACACATGGTCCCACCATATGCATGTTAATTGTTAAACCACCGCTAACTGTGTCGAGACATCTAACAGTGCCTTTAGAAAGGCCACTGCAGATGCTCTATGCAAAATATATTATTTATCCCTCTGATGTATAAAAAATATCAAACATGTTAACTGTTTTGCTAATTTTGTTAGTTAAACCTTTTGACCGACTCTTGCAAGGAGTTGTTGGTTTTCTAACGAAAATATTCCATTAGTTTTGGCCATTTTTCATCATAATTTTCACTCTTTTCAGTTTTTTCCCCACTTTATTCAGTATTTTTTAACTCTTTTCAAACCTTTTTTCTTTCGTTTATGCTTAAAAAAACTGAAAAGTCGAATCAATTACAATGAAACTTTGCAGATTATGAATGCAAAAACCCATAAAAAAGAAGACTTAAAATCCCTAAAATCTAAAAGAAACTCTAAAATTGTAATGAAACCCTAATTTGAACGAATCGAAAAATTAAAACAAAGCTTTTCATATTCTAATCGCAAAACTCCCCAAAAAAGAAAACTGAGAACCCCTAAAATCAAGAAAAAGGAAAAACCTTATTTGAACGTTGGCAAAAATCGTCAACAGTCCTAGAAAGTGAAACAACCTAGAAAAACATTAAGGACCATTGACCGTAAAGAAAGTAACACCGTTAAACATGGGCTAGTCCACTCCTTTGGGAGGGTGGACTCAAGCCCACACTTAAATTATAAAAAAATTCCCATATTATTTATATATTTATTAAGTCCACCCAATATTTATTAAATAACCAACCCAATTCGAAAAAACCCTAATTATTATTAATTAGTCCATCCAAAATTCAAAATTATGCAAAAAAAACCCTTTATTTTCTTCTCTCTTTTTTTTTTCCTATTTTTTGATTTTGTCACAAAAAAGTCCTAATTTTTTTCCAGGGCCCGAAAATTTAAGCCCACCCTGTATCACATTCCTGGACTTGCCACTGCCGTTAAATGTTTGACCACTAACCGTAAAAAAGATAGGGGGCATTTGATGTTTTTCTATACATCTGGGGCAAATGATATATTTTGCATAGTACAGGGGTGCAAAATTATTTTAAATAATCAAACTCCATGCACAATTAAAGTTTATATTTGATTATTTGGGTGCAGATTAAAACAAGGGTAAATAGCACTTAACCCCCTCGTGGTTTAGACATTTTGCACATGACCCCCTTATGGTATGAAATTAAGCACATAACCCTCTTGTAGTTTTGATATTTTGCACATGACCCCCTTATGGTATGAAATTAGGCACATAACCCCCTTGTGGTTTTCACATTTTGCACATGACCCCCTTATGGTATGAAATTAGCACATAACCCCTTGAATAGAAAACTGGAAAAGACTAAATTACCCCTATCAAGTCAAAAGTCCTTGTTTTAATTTAAAAATAATTATTCTATAAAATGAAAAGCTTAATGTACTTTTTTGTAAAATGAGAAATATAATATATTATTGGGTTTTTTTTCTATTTTACAACACATATATTTTTTTTAATTTAATTTTTATTTCAACTTTAGAGATTTTTTTTATATTTTCCCAAAAGAATAAAAAAAATGAAAACTTTGTTTCTTAAAAAAATTAAAGTTCGATAACAACTATAATATAATATATTATATAGAATAGTAATATAATAATCATAATTAATGATAATGTTAAAGATTTTCAAATTGATTTTTAAAATCGAATAAATTGTCAATCGTAAAATAACTAGTATTATATACCTTTTATTAAAAAAACACAATAATATATTATATTTCTCATTTTATAAAAAAATACATTAACCTTTTCATTTTATAAAATAATTATTTTTAAATTAAAACAAGAATTTTTGACTTGATAGGGGTAATTTAGTCTTTTCCAGTTTTATATTCAAGGGTTATGTGCTAATTTCATATCATAAGGGGGCATGTGCAAAATTTCAAAACCACAAGGGGGTTATGTGCCTAATTTCATACCATAAGGGGGTCATGTGCAAAATGTCAAAACCACAAGGGGGTTACGTGCCTAATTTCATACCATAAGGGGGTCATGTGCAAAATGTCCAAACCACAAGGGGATTAAGTGCTATTTACCCTTAAAACAAACTTGGATGATCCAAAATAATAAATAAATAAATAAATAAATAAAAACAATTGGATAATATTTAAGTGTTTGACAGTGCATATAATTTCGATAGAATTATATTATAAACTTGTACAATGAAACCAGGCCTCAAACTACATTTCAACATATCAAACTTTGACCCCTTAAAAACCGGTATTGTACAATAACATCCCCTCCATTTACACATTAATTAATTCGAAAATTTCTTTTTTACTTGTTACTCCCTTTTTTGCCCCCCACATTCTTCTCTCTCTCTCTTTCCCCTTGGCCATGCATGCATGTGCCATCATCCTTCACATAATCACCATACCTAATTAATAATAAATATTAATTTAATTAATGGGGTGCAATGTCTCAAGGTTAGATGGCAACGGCGCCGCCACCTTGCCGGCAAGGCAGCTGCGGCCCCTCTTCCTCCAACGCCTCGACGATTTCAAGGCGGCCCGCAGGCACGGGGGCGGCCGCCCCCTCAAGGGGGCCGCTTCCACCCCCTCCAAGAAACAACTTCTTTTTCATATCGATGATGCTTCGCGTCATTCTTCTATTAATACTAATAATACCCCCAAACGTATGTCCATCTATAATTCTCTCGAAGATAGCATCAAAAAACCCGACCAAAAAAATCGAGAGGCTATTAATATTTATGAAAAGGATATTGAGATGAAGAAGCATATAATTAATGTGGTTGATCATGAGGAAGAAATCGTAAAGGGGAAGGGTAAAAACGACATGAAAGAAAAAACGGAAGATAAGATTATTGAGGATGATGATTTTCTAAGTGCCGACGAGGATATAAATGATGGGGAAGAAGAAGATGATGATGATGATAATGATGACGAGGATGAAGGTGATGAGAGAAATATTGGATTCCCAGGCTCGCCGAGTTTTCGAGTATATTTTGTGGATCGTGATATTGGTAAGAACATCTCGTCGATGAATATAATTAATTTGTTAATTAGTTTTTAAGTATATATATTGAAATTTGTGATTGTTACTTATTGATTAGAATGGATATTATTATGAATATGTTGCAGGTAAGATAGATGCCTTCAAAGATGCAATTTCGAGTGACGATAGCGTTCCATCCAAGGTAAAATTCGTGATTATTCAACAAATTAAAGCGAAAAAACCCTTTCTTGATCTTTGAAGATCTTTGTGTGTGTGTGTGTGTGTGTGTGTGTGTGTGTGTTTTGTCACCTATTATTAGTAATTATTATGATAAATTATTGATTTTTTCTTATATATAATTTTTTTAATTTGTAACATGATTTAATATATAAGGATGAAATAATATTAAAATTAAAAAATTATATAAATTATAATTTTTTTTTAATCTAACGACATGCATCAAATGGTAATTAATTATATTATATTACGTCGTAGGAATCATCGTCGTCGTCGTTGTCATCATCATCATCTTCCGAGAAGAAAGAGAAGGGAGCAAGAAAAAAGAGGAGCTTTAGAAAGGTTTTGCCTAAAAATCTATTGAACGTGAAATCTTGCTACACTTGTTCTCATCACAAAAAGCAAACACCTCAACTTTCTTGATCATCCATGCATCTTATAAGTGATGATAGAAGGAATTAACATATAAGGCTATCTTTTTTTTCTTCTCAAAATTGTAAATATATATAACTATTATTAAATTAGTTAGTCTTATATTCATGTACATATATAATATACGTGGGAAAATCAGGCTTTTTAATTAACACGTGTTTTTTTCTTTCTCTCTCTCGACTTGTTGGAAAATAGTCGGAGCATATTAATTTTATATCAAGATAAACTTTGGTCAATCGAGTATCGGTATTGTCATATCGTCGTGCTTGGTTTACACAAGGTGTTTTTATGTGTAGAAATTGGAATTGATGTCCAAAAATTCCGAAAATTCTGATCCAAAAATTTTTAATTTCAAATTTTGTTCGAGTTCCAATTTCTCCAAAGATTTATGATCCAAAATTTTATCTCATTTCCCACTTAAAACACTATAAAAAGAACTTTTCGATCCTTCTTAGGAAAATAGGAAAACGAATAGGAAAAAACAATTAAAAGATACGAAAAACACAATAATTTTACTGTAAACATAATAAAATTGAACACATTGATCAGAGAAATATTAAAATATAATTATTATTTTATTTTTTAAGAGTCACACAGTAATATTATTGTCTAACATAGTAATCTTACTGCTATCTAACACAATAATATTATCATGTTAATAGTAATATTCATGGATTACACATTATATTATTTTATTAATAATATTAATGTATTAACAGTAATATTAATGCCAAATAACTAATTAATAATATAAAGGGGTCCATGAAGGTACCACTATTTTCTTTTTAATCGTTATGAAGGTACCACTAACGAACCCAAACTTTAATAATCATATCGTCTACAGTTCATTCGGTGCAATTTCCCTCAACTACTTGATAAGTTCCAAAACAATAGGGCATTTCGTCCGCAATGTACAAGTAACTAAAGCATCGTCAAAAACACTTCACCGTAGAGAAAAAATACATTTACAAGAGTTGTACCAACCGCAACACGTTGTTGTACTCTTGCTGTTAATTCTGAGTCTCCATCACAAAAAGTGCTGCTTTCTCCAACAATCTCCATCCAAAATCCCACCTTCAACGATCCTAGCAAATCAACCAGGTTCTCTCTCTCTCTCTCTCTCTCTCTCTCTCTCTCTCTCTCTCTCTCTCTAACGTCTCGGCGGATTATATATATTTCTACTGTTATTTAAACTAATTTGTTGCGATTGAAGCATTACATCTTGGTAGGTAGGTATGTACTTTTTGCCGGTAATTTAGTATTCGATTTTATATTTTAAGATATGATATTGAATTTGGATTTGATTTGTGCGCGATCCGGTGTCGTATTGTGGTATTTGATCAGGGGTTTGTAATTAAAGAGAAGAAGAAGAAGAAGATATGTTGGGAATTTTAAGGGCAAAAGTTGCTTGCAGAGGCGTTCCTGCTTCGGTACCTTCAATTTTTTAATCCCCTTTTTGTCAGTTCATTGATTTGATTGTTCACTTATCATAATTTGAATATGTAAGCAATTCTGTTATATGATTATTCGTTTGAAAAGGGTTTGGAGCAAGGAATTCGAGTAATTGCGTCCCGGGCTTTTTCTTCCTCAGCGAAGCAGGTAATAAATTAACTATCTTCGTATATTCGGAAATTGTGCGTTTGACAAAAACATCGATACTACTAGAAATGACTTGAAATATTATGTTTCTGAAATGTTTAGACACACTAATTATCTTCATATATTCGAGAATTGTGCGTTTGACAAAACCATTGATACTACTAGAAATTACTTGAAATTTTATGTTTCTGAAATGTTTAGACATACTACAGAATTCCCCTTTTATGAGGGGTTTTCAAAAGATCGAGCATAATTCACAAAAGTCGGCTTTTGAGTTCAGGGATGCACTATAGTTTAAGTGTTTCTATGTTAACTCAAGAATACTCGCTTATAGTTGTTTCGGCTTTTGAGAAATCCGATATGCACACTTGTTAAATGACGTTGTCGCCGTTTCTTGCAGATGACTGTACGTGATGCTTTAAATTCAGCACTTGATGAAGAGATGTCTGCTGACCCCACAGTGTTTATAATGGGTGAAGAGGTATTACGAGAGTTGTAATCCTATTAGAAGATTTTCTATTTTGGTGATCGGTTCTTTATGAGTGTATGATATACTTTGTTGACTAAATTACTGTTCTACAGGTTGGTGAGTATCAGGGTGCGTATAAGGTGAGTGTTAGTCAATTATGAATTATTTTAATTGAAATCATTTCGTAATGGGTACTAGTTTCTGATTTTCTATATATTTGTACTAGATCACGAAAGGGCTTTTGGATAAGTATGGTCCTCAGAGGGTCGTTGACACGCCCATCACTGAGGTAGCTTTTTCCCCCTTTTGCATTAATTATTTGAATTGAATTAAGTTGAAATTATGTTTTTAACCGTGTGAATTCCATAGGCCGGGTTTGCTGGAATTGGAGTTGGTGCGGCGTATCACAGTCTAAGGCCTGTAATTGAGTTCATGACTTTTAACTTCTCAATGCAGGTTAGAATTCTTACCCTTACACAATATTCTGGCATTGTAGAGTTTATGAATTGAGAAATTTCCTTTGATATTGCATCAGTTATATAAATTCTAGAGTTGATATTGCCATTGGAAACCTGCGTAGTTTCTTTTTCTGATGTTCCTTGATATCATTAACTGATGCTCTACTTGTGTTCTTATATCCATTTTCCAGCTTTAGCATGTATTTTGTATCGATATGGTTAACGATGAGGGAACCGTAAATGAAATAAATTCTGAGTTGTGTTTAGTTTGATGTTATGTTGTTTACTTCTGATGAATAATATCAACTTTCATACATCAAATTGGACTGCTGTGGGAATACTTACTTCAAATGTTTAACTTGTCTGAACTACTGTGAGTCTGTGATACTGAGAAATAATTTGACCAGTTTGAGTAACATTTGCCAACTATGTTCTAGCTGTTATAGTGGTACTGCGGAAGTGGAATATGAGTTACGATATGATCAACTTTCTTGTCCAATTTATCGACATCATTAAATTTCAGGAGATCAGCATTTAATCTCGCTTGTGGTTTAATAAATGTGTTTAGTTCCATTGTTATAAAGTGATGTGTTCTGTTTGATATTTGGGGGGGGTGGTGACGCATGGTTATAATGTAATGTGTGATGGAGGTACCTGATATATGTTGATGCAGGCCATTGATCACATCATAAATTCTGCTGCAAAATCGAATTACATGTCTGCTGGTCAGATATCAGTGCCCATTGTTTTCAGAGGCCCAAATGGTGCTGCTGCTGGTGTTGGTGCTCAACATTCTCAGGTATGGATGTTATATATTCTCATAAGGAATTTGAAACTGTACTTCGAAAACTCGTCTTTTTGATTTATGATAAGCTCATTATTTTAGCTGACCAGGAGTCTAATATGGAGATCATAGATCTCTCTAGGAATCATCATTGCCACAAAATTGATAATCGGTCACGTCTTGAATTTATTAGGACATCTAACTAAATGGAAAGTTACGTTTTATTTTTCGTGGCCGAGAATGTTTAACCGCTGGCAGGAAAGCATAAGAAGCACAATTTCCAGATATGTGAGGTTGGGATATTTGACTCTTTGTACAAAATAAGAGAAGTAGACTCTGTATCCGTTTCCTCCAAACGTACCCTTAATTTGTTACAACTTAGACAAAATAGAAAAATAAATTAGGTTGAATTCTAGATTCTAATTAAGACTGCTTCTTTAAACAAGGTGATTCTGAATAGCCAGATGATTTAACTCCTAAATGTGGACCAGCCAATAAATTGTTGTCATGCAACATAACGTGGTCAGGTTGGCCGATAACCTTTTAGAGCAGATAAGTGGTTCTTTGTCGATAGGAGGAGAGTTTATGCGAGAAAGACGATTGTGGTGGGGAAATTCGTATTTTATGTAACTTCTGCTACGAACTATCGACAGAAAAATGTAGATCATATATGAAGTAAAGAATTAATTGATGAATACTTTTTGTAATATTTTCTGCTTGTGGAGGAGGAACTGAGTTTGTATTCTTTGCAGTGCTATGCAGCATGGTTTGGTGCATGTCCAGGTTTAAAGGTACTGGCTCCATATTCTTCGGAAGATGCTCGTGGTCTGCTTAAAGCTGCAATAAGGGATCCAGATCCTGTTGTCTTCCTCGAAAACGAGTTGCTGTAAGTAGTATCACCTTCGTAGTTATGATCCGAAATTCATCTTTTATTTTTTGTTTAAAGGGTTTAACTTTTTTGTACAGATACGGTGAATCATTTCCAGTTTCTGCCGAAGTTCTCGATTCCAGTTTCTGCCTTCCTATTGGGAAAGCTAAGGTATACCGTATCCTGTAGCAAATACTGTACTCGGCGTATAGTAATGGTTATTGATTTTGAATTCGTCTATTCTATTGGCAGATAGAACGTGAAGGAAAGGATGTAACAATCACTGCTTTTTCAAAGATGGTCGGCTACGCTCTTCAGGTCTGTAATTCTATTTATGATGATTTGAGAATGAATTCTTACGTTTATATACACGGGTTTTCTCTTTGCTGGACTTTAGTTGTATAATACCTCTGAAAATCAAATGTCGAGAAATCTTACCGGAGTTTGTGTACAGAAATTTCTAATGTTTCATCTCTTAACCTAATATATACAGGCTGCTGACATTCTCGCCAAAGAAGGAATCAGCGCCGAGGTAACCGAAACCATTCACTTAATATTTTATGTTTCATA